TAACTAAAGAGGCTAGTTGTAAAAGTTCTTATTACGGTACATCAGGACCAATATGTGTAGAATTTGCAAATATTTGGCATTTTCTTAATCAAAAATTTGTTATGTCTTATGTAACAATTACTTATCAGTAAATGAGCAATCTGCATATTTATAGAATATGACATACGACAGAAGAATCAACAAAATATTTCACTTGATATCCATAGAGAATTAAACACTTTGAGAGCATAAATTGTACCATAGGGGTCTATTTCTGGCTCATACAGTAATGTTGTACTTTTTAAAACCAGCTTTTCTTAAGAACAATTAAGAACAGATAGGTAAATGATTTCCCTGCAAGTCTTAAATGACTTTTAAATTCATTCTGCAAAAATCTACAGGTAATTGTATACTATGTTCACAATAGTTCTGTATCCTTGTGACACCTTTTTGTTTTAGAACTTTTGAAAGTACTTTAAGCTTGTAGTGTTAATATGATAGACCACTTTTTTAGGTTTTTGTGTGTTTTACAAAAATGTTTACAGGGTTTTGAGTATTAACCTTTATTATTATTATTTTGGTCCATTTTCCTTGTTTCATTGGTTCAAATGATTACAATGGGCTACCAATTGCAGCCAATTACTGTCATTTGCTTGAATTGTACCAAAAGTCAGAGTTCTACAAGGTAAAAGAATGCTACAAATGGTAGGGTCACTTAATACCCAATGAATACCCAACAAGTAGTAAATCTAGTACTGCAGACTCCCGACTCTCGCGCTTTTTCCTTTGATATTCTTCATACCGCTGTATAGAATTGATTCATGCTTACCAAGCACATTTTCTGCATGGAAATACATTCACACATATATAAATTTATCAACAATGTTACGTATAATGTGAATCTCCTGTGTGGCGCGGTGGTCAGAGCGTCTGCTCTAGAGTTGTGGAGTTAAGGAGTTGATTCCTTTTGTTGCAGGTTAGAATCCCACAGCAGGATGTGAAGACCGGTCCTTAGGATGAGACTGTATAAACCAAGGTCCCATGTTGCAGTAGGTGCTGGCATGAAAAAAAAATCCCTCACTGCTCAATGGCCGAGTATAAGTCTAAAATTTGCAGCCCTCTACTGGCAAGTGCTGGCATCTCAATATGAGTGAAAAATTCTTGAGAGGGATGTTAAACAAACGTATAATGTAATAAATCAGGAACTTTTCATTTCACACTCCTGATTGTTCCGGATTGTCAGTGATTTTTTTTTATTAATATCCTTCATTTCACCAAAAAGAATTACTTCCAACTGATTGGGCATATTTGCTACATTAAAGTTCATGCCTACATACATAAAATGATAAATATATATTATACAAACAATTCTACATATCATAATGTCATCTGTCCAAAAGTGGAAAATTTGATCATGTTTATACTAAGTTTCAAATGTAGAAACCAAAAACGGATACTGGTTCATGGAACTGCTAAATAAATAATTTAGTCCATAACTGCCACCATTCTTAATTTTTTTGGACATTTTTATATTTATGTGAATTTAGTTCAACATAGTGAATGTGCCTAAAAAGTTTGAACCAAATCTGTTTAGCAATTAGGAGAATATCAACAAAAACATTAATCGGAGAGAGTCAGGAGTACTAGATTTACCACCTCCCTGACTATGGTACTTCAGTGATGGCAACCAAATGCTACCAGTGGTCGTTTTCAAATTCATCAATGATCAATCCTGAATGCACCTACTAAATTTTCTTTCTATGGATGTCAGCATCAAATATCATTATATTAATCTGATATAATAGTGAGCAGAATGAGCGCCGCTTCCACTGCGAGCTCTTAAAGCAACGCCTGGGCAAAGAGAAAATTTGGACTGTGCACACTGATCTAAAAACAATTTTTTTCCACAGTAACCTATAGACCCACAATGCAAAGCCAATGCATCTCACGATTTACAGTCAACTCGTACCCAAACCGAGTCATACCCAAGGAGTCAACTCGAACCCAAAACTGTTAATTACATATACAGTGTTATACTATATACAAAGGCATGTACTATAGATTATTTAGTATACACATAATTCGTCTGTGCTGTTAGTAATTGCATAAATCATGCTTGTTGTTTGTGATGCCTGAAAGGGCCCTGATTTGGAAATAAAGAATCTATCTAGGCCCTATCTACATGTATATCTATATATGCCAAGTTGAATTTTTCAAACAAATTTAATTTAATTGTCATTATTTTATAAAATAGTAGTGTAACTAAATTGGAATAATAAATCAGATATCTTGAAGAAAATATATCAAAAAGTGAAATATTTTCATTATTTATTTTATGACTTCAGTTTTGGGTGCGAGTTGACTCTTTGGGTATGACTCGGTTTGGGTATGAGTCGGAATGGGTACGAGTTGACAGGATACCCATCTCACTGCTAACTACATTCTCGTGGTAACAACAAAAGTTCACCAAATAATAAACTCATCTTGATTTAATTGATATATTACAGATAAATATTTGTTGATTCAAAGTTCTTTGTTAAACATTTGCACTTTTCAGACTTCGTTTCAGTAATGGAACTAAAATATGTCGTCATGTGATGTCACATTCTTCATGTTCCAAATGTATTCTCTTTAGAGAAGTGAACAGGCTTTCGCCTACATCCACTTCTCTTCACAAGCCTTCATGTTTTGATTCTGGAAAACGTGTAAATCTCGAACCGGTGACGGTCTACACTTCAACTGACATTTCGTCTAAAATACGTCTGAATGTACGTAATAGACGTGTTATATTATCAATTTTAACATAAATGCACACAACTGTCACAAGAAAACTGACCTTTAAGTATTGTTAATCCATTTTCACAAGTTCTCCATCCCGGATTTAAATCATGTGCAAGTAACTCTTGAAGTATTCAAAAATCTCTAATTTGGATAAAAATGGAAACTATTTTTACAAAATAATAATGAAACGAGAGAAATTGTCTACTCTGTTTAAACTAACAAGACAGTATTGCCTCAAGTTTCGTTCAAATTCTTTTGATCTTTATTTTAAATCTTTTTTTCATTTCTCGGAAAAGGTAGAGTTAATATCCTTTAAAAATTATAAAAGAAAATATTTTTAGTATTGTCAGTGAGGTAGTAATAAAGTATATTTTAAGCTCAAATTTATATTTAAATTGTATTAAAATAGTAAAAATACGTATAGGTAATAATATTAATTTTGAATAATATGCTAAATCAAAAGTGAATTGTCAAAAACTTTTTTTGAACATTAAAATACGTCTTCGCCAATTTTTCCAAATTATCAGACTTAAAATTTTCAATTTTTTCTAATAAGCTATGATAGATAAACATTAGTTTAAATCCGGGATGGAACTTGTGAAAATGGATTAACAATACTTAAAGGTCAGTTTTCTTGTGACAATTGTGTGTATTTATGTTAAAATTGATAATATAACACGTCTATTACGTACATTCAGACGTATTTTAGACGAAATGTCAGTTGAAGTGTAAACCGTCACCGGTTCGAGATTTACACGTTTTCCAGAATCAAAACATGAAGGCTTGCGAAGAGAAGTGGATGTAGGCAAAAGCCTGTCCACTTCTCTAAAGAGAATAGTTCCAAATGAAGAGGCGGATCCAAGTTAAATCTGAACAGGTTTCCAATAAAAAGCAACTGCGCTCACCCAACAGTGCACCATCAACATATTAAGTTCTTGAAATGTCCTTATTTCAACTAATCCAATAAAACTTTTGTAGTATAAAAAGTATAATCACAGGAGTCGGCAGTTTTATCCATAAAACAACGTGAACAACAACCAGTGAGCTTCGCGAGCGTAGCGACAGGAATGCAACGCGTTTTTGGCGAATTCTGCTCTGGCGCTTTATTTAATTAAACTAACAACAACACACGGTATAATTCATGTCAGTCGATGTTTTTAACCTGATTTCTGGTCCGATTACCCTCTCAATTGCCGTACTAGATGCTTAAATCCAACGTTAACGACATCTTGAAAAGAATCAGTCGCCATGAGGGTCTGCGTGACGTCACACCATTCGTTCCTGAAGCATTTCGAGTTGATTTTTTAAGAAAGTTATTTAAAAAATATATTTAACGTATAATCTATGAAATTTTACGTCTGTTATTTTTTTAAAAGTAATACGTTAGTGATTATTGATGTTTAAATGAACGTAAAAGTTTATTTGACTTAAAACACCTTTTCAAAATAAAGGGAGATAATTTCAAGGTTTAATGTCTTGTTGGACTTTTCTGTCATTTCAAAGCTTTTTCCCACTAATCAATAATTTTACTTTTTAAACAAAATTGCAAAATTTAATAGATTAGACGTTATATATATCTTTAAATAATTTATATATAAAATCCAACACGAAATGCTTCAGGAGCGAATGGTGTGACGTCACGCAGACCCTCATGGCGACTGATTCTTTTCGAGATGTCATTAACGTTGGATTTAAGCGTCTAGTACGGCATTTGAGAGGGTAATCGGACCAGAAATCAGGTTAGAAACATCGACTGACATGAATTATACAGCGTGTTGTTGTTAGTTTTGTTAAATAAAGCGCCAGAGCAGAATTCGCCAAAAACGCGTTGCATTCCTGTCGCTTCGCTCGCTACGCTCGCGAAGCTCACTGGTTGTTGTTTACGTTGTTTTACGGATAAAACTGCCGACTCCTGTGGTATAATCACCCAAAAAAGAAAATTGTTAATTTATGTAAAAGATTGAAGATTTTTTAATTGTTACTACTACAAAAGTTCGTCAATGTCTATTTGTATTCTTATTTTCTGACCACTCCTTTATTGTATAATATATTTTTACAAATTATAGCCCTCAGGGCAGTAGGGTAAGACCTGTACCAAGGATATCTCCACCGAGTTTATGTTGTTTGTTATGGTAAACGTCTCCAGCAAAGAAGACTTTGGAGATCTTCTCAAAATATCCAGGCATCTCTGATATCGTTTTGTCTTAAACAAGCTATGGAGTTGATCCATCAGAGTCCTAAATAAAGCCGACACTCGATCACTCCTCAGTGAGTCAGTCTCCTGCTTCTTCTAACTTGCCGCCATTTCACCCGCTCATAACAATGCAAATAATATATCCAAATGGGAATAAATGAGAATGTCGTGTATCGATTTAGTTATCAGAGAAATTTTCTCTTCAGTAAAAAGGAAAAATAATAACACATTAAAAAATACAGGACATTTAAAAAACTAGAGATATTTGAGACCTCGTTTGCATAAGGGGTCAACTTTCACTTTCGTATTTACAAACAAGCAAGCATGACAAGTGAGAGAGAAAAATACTTGGTAAGGAACACATTAATCTCGCTTTTAAAGGCAGTAGAAGGAAAAGAAACCACAGTAGAGCTGAGGAACGAAAACTCTGTCACTGGAAAAGTAGAAGATGTGGATGGATTTATGAACATTATAATGAGAGATGTTGTTTTCAGATCATTTAGAGGAATGTCACAAAACTTCTCCAGTTTTTTCGTTCAAGGACAAAATGTTAGATACGTGCATATTCCAGACGAGATCGACATGAGAGCAGCGATAGATCACCAGGTTAACAAAGAATGGCGGATGAAAGCTCAGTTTACACGTGATGTAAGAAAAGCTGCTAAAGCGAAAATTACCAAGAGGGAACTTCAGGCGAAGAAGGAGGATACCCTTAGACAAAGACAGAAAGAGTTTGAAGAGAAGAAAAATATCCCACAAAAAACTTAATTTGGTTTTGTTTATGAAAGAAACAGTGTTGCAATGCTGTTAAAGCAGCTTATAATATCAGATAAAGGGACCACATGACAGAAATGGAGTAGTGAAAAATGAATTTCTTAATTACACCACTGGATGTTGAATTTGAGCATTTAACATGCCTAATGTTGGAATACTATAGGTTAAAATATTAAAACACTGAAGACAGATCAATTCATCTGTACATGATAAATGCATTTGATGTTAGATGTTTATTATTTCTATGCAATGAAGGATTAAAAAGGGTGAATTACTTTGATGACTCTTTAATTGCATTATTTTTAACTCTTCTGAGCTGAAAGCTCAAATTAGCTTTTCAGATCACTTTTTTGTCTGTCTGTTTGACTATCTGTGAACTTTTTAACATTCTGGACTTCATCTCCAGATTCACCATGTTCACTGGACCAATGTCAACCAAACTTGGCACAAGGCATCATTGGGTGAAGGGTATTCATGAATGGCCACACCCTCTTGAAAGAGTAGATGATGAATGAAAAGCAAAAATGGATGGATGTCTTAAAAAAACTTAAGAACCACTGGGTCAGAAAACATGAAACTTACAGGGACATTTTCTGACATAGCATACATTAAAGTTTGTGTAAATGATGTCTTATGTTGTGCAGATTCACTTTTCTTCAAATCATGGCCTCCAGGGTTTATTGGGGACACAATAGGGGATCAGATTTTGAGGTACAAATGTAATATGAATATTTAAGAATTTTAAACAATTTTGTTTCAAGATAAGCAGGTTCACACTAAATCATAATCCCTTTGGGCTAGGGTTGGTCCACAATATGGGTTCAACATTTTTTCTTGGGTTATTCCCCCAAAAGGGAAAAATATCTTCAAAAAAATACCTCTTGAATGCAAAACCAAGATGAGCAGTGTCGTCTATGGGCCTTTTTCTTTTGAAAGAAAGACTGATGTCATAATAATAGCAATTGTTCGGGAAAAATAAATCCGATATATAAATAAAATAAGTTTGAATGTTTTTTTTCTCTCTCATCAGATTAATTGAAATCTGTTGTTAGAGAGGGAAGTAGGTTGAAAGTTAACTATTTATGGCTCTCAAAGATGCCCAATAAAAAATTGCCTGTGACCTATATCTCATATAGAAATTGAAAAATGTATTTTAAGCACAGATGGAAAGCTTTTATCTGCAAAGTTAAATAAAAGTGTACTTCATTGTGTGCATGTGGCTAAAATCTTTAATGCATCACTTATCTTTAAATCTCTGTTTCTACAGTGAGTTTTACTCATATGCAAAGAATTTGCATATGTGTGTATATAACATGTAAGCATACCTTGCTGTATAAATGCATATTGGCAAAAAATAGTTCTGTTAGCATTTTTGCACCTAGTCAGGGGCAGGTGAAAATCTATTTGTATGCAAAAACAAACATTGTGTGCAAAGAGGCTCATCTTTGGCATTTTTTGATGGAGATATCTTTTCATTAAGCCTTCTATGGATGAAAAGATGTCTCTTTCTTGATTCTAAAATTCTCCAACATTGTTCATCATTTAATTTTTCAACCACATTATCTTGAATCAGATGCTTGATTTTAGTTTTATTAGCTCACCTGAGCTGAAAGCTCAAGTGAGCTTTTCTGATCACCTATTGTCCGTTGTCCGTCCGTCCGTCTGTCCGTCCGTCTGTAAACTTTTCACATTTTCAACTTCTTCTCAAGAACCACTGGGTCAATTTTAACCAAACTTGGTACAAAGTACCCTTGGGTGAAGGGGAGTTTAAATTGTTAAAATAAAGGGCCAAGTCCCCTTACAAGGGGAGATAATCAAGAAAAGAAAAAAATAGAGTGGGGTCATTAAAAAATCACTTCTCAAGAACCACTGGGCCAGAAAAGCTGAAACTTATGTGGAAGCATCCTGGGGTAGTGTAGATTCTAAATTGTTCAAATCATGACCCCCGGGGGTAGGGCGGGGCCGCAATAGGGAATCCAAGTTTTACATTGAAATATATAGGAAAAATCTTTAAAAATCTTCTTCTCAAGAACCACTGAGCCAGAAAAGCTGAAACTTATGTGGAAGCATCCTGGGGTAGTGTAGATTCTAAATTGTTAAAATCATGACCCTCGGGGGTAGGGCGGGGCCACGATAAGGAATCCAAGTTTTACATTGAAATATATAGGAAAAATCTTTAAAAATCTTCTTCTCAAGAACCACTGAGCCAGAAAAGCTGAAACTTATGTGGAAGCATCCTGGGATAGTGTAGATTCTAAATTGCTCAAATCATGACCCTCGGGGTAGGGCGGGGCCACAATAGGGAATCCAAGTTTTACATTGAAATATATAGGAAAAATCTTTAAAAATCTTCTTCTCAAGAATCACTCAGCCAGAAAAGCTGAAACTTATGTGGAAGCATCCTGGGATAGTGTAGATTCTAAATTGTTAAAATCATGACCCCCGGGGGTAGGGCGGGGCCATGATAGGGAATCAACTTTTACATTGAAACATATAGGAAAAATCTTTAAAAATCTTCTTCTCAAGAACCACTGAGCCAGAAAAGCTGAAACTTAAGTGGAAGCATCCTGGGATAGTGTAGATTCTAAATTGTTCAAATCATGACCCACGGTGGTAGGGCGGGGCCACGATAGGGAATCCAAGTTTTACATTGAAATATATAGGGAAAATCTTTAAAAATCTTCTTCTCAAGAACCACTGAGCCAGAAAAGCTGAAACTTATGTGGAAGCATCCTGGGATAGTGTAGATTCTAAATTGCTCAAATCATGACCCTCGGGGTAGGGCGGGGCCACAATAGGGAATCCAAGTTTTACATTGAAATATATAGGAAAAATCTTTAAAAATCTTCTTCTCTGAAAGAATCACTCAGCCAGAAAAGCTGAAACTTATGTGGAAGCATCCTGGGATAGTGTAGATTCTAAATTGTTAAAATCATGACCCCCGGGGGTAGGGCGGGGCCATGATAGGGAATCAACTTTTACATTGAAACATATAGGAAAAATCTTTAAAAATCTTCTTCTCAAGAACCACTGAGCCAGAAAAGCTGAAACTTATGTGGAAGCATCCTGGGATAGTGTAGATTCTAAATTGTTCAAATCATGACCCACGGTGGTAGGGCGGGGCCACGATAGGGAATCCAAGTTTTACATTGAAATATATAGGGAAAATCTTTAAAAATCTTCTTCTCAAGAACCACTGAGCCAGAAAAGCTGAAACTTATGTGGAAGCATCCTGGGGTAGTGTAGATTCTAAATTGTTCAAATCATGACCCCCGGGGGTAGGGCAGGGCCACAATAGGGAATACAATTTTTGCATTGAAATATATAGGAAAAATCTTTAAAAATCTTCTTCTCAAGAACCACTGAGCCAGAAAAGCCGAAACTTATGTGGAAGCGTTCTGGGATAGTGTAGATTTTAAATTGTTCAAATCATGACCCCCGGGGGTAGGGCGGGGCCACAATAGGGAAACATTGAAATATATAGGAAAAATCTTTAAAAATCTTCTTCTCAAGAACCACTGGACCAGAAAAACTGAAACTTATGTGGAAGCATCCTGGGGTAGTGTAGATTCTAAATTGTTCAAATCAATAGGTATTAAAAGGGGGAAGTCTGGTAATGAACAGCATGGCCAAAGTTACTCAGGTGAGCGATGTGGCCCATGGCCCTCTTGTTCTAATTTTACATTAAATGAAGTGTCATACTATAGTCCAATTGTTTATTACATATGAAAGAGTATGAAGCCATTCTTATGGAATCAAATTAGAAGATAACAAACATTAATCAAGCTCAAGCATCCAATAAATCAATAGAAATTGTAAGCAGAGCAAAGATTGATCAGGTGACATGGAGGAGTGAGCATCCCCAATTGACTGGTCACACTCGTGTGCTCCTTAATTGTCATGATGCGCAAAAGGAAAAATCCGTTGACAATTCAGTGTGAAAATAATGGTCTAACAATTTGTATGAAAGACTTGAATCAGCAACCAAACAATAAATTTTATTTGCAAATAAGGTCATTGTATCAACCATAAAATTTATAAATTGTCTTTAAAAGAGATTGTTGATATCCTTTCATCAACTGTGATAAAAAATTAATACACTGTAGAATAGTAAGTTATATATGAATTTACTCATAGTAAATAAAATCACATGAGAATGTGAAGTTAATTCACGTTTGCATTAAGAGCAAATTTGCTCTTGCCTTATAAACAAGGTATTTAGGTATCGGTAACAAATAAAATTGGCCAAAACTTTATCTACCTTGACTGTTCTAGAGAAAGGCTAAAAGGGGGTAAAGATTCACCCACAAAGCAGCCTTTTATCCTGGTTAAATGAAAACTGTCACCCAATTACATAAATATAAAGATTTCAATTTATAATGTTCTTTCAAAATTTGACAAGACAAATGGACCAGTGATACTTATTAAATATATTTATTAAATATATATATATTTACAAGCATAATCTCATTTGGTAATTTTGCCTGCATGCCTGCAAAGCAGAAGTACATATACACAATTTTTGTTGTAATTTATGATATAACCATTACGAATATATCCAAAAAAACATGTCTCCTTTCACAAGAAATTTGTTGCATTCATAAATTTGTTCCATTCATAACCGTATCCATCACAATTATACTTTATAAATTATGTTCTCCTGAAACAAGAAAGTGTACAAAATGTACCGGTACCATTTAAAATATCATTTATTGGCCTGAGACAATGCTTCAGAGCAGTAGAAACAAGAAAGCAATTGTATGAAAAAATTAACTTATACTCTGAGTAAAATGTTTTAAAAATTCTTCTAAAGGATGTAGTGCATTGAAAATATCGTACAAATTATGTGAGGGAAAAAATGGTAAAAAAAAAATTGTGCTTCAGTGACATATTTTTCAGCAATATCTTTAAGTAACAAGGGTACATAATGTGAGCATATATATTTCTGTTCATTCCATTTTACATTTATTTTTAAAGCAAATAATGTAAATTAGTTGTGAACCTTTTACCCACTTTAAAGACATATATTGATATGTGATAATTTAAGTGTCGGACCTCATTATACAGCATGCTATGATAATTCACGTTAAAGACAATACAAAACATTCAGTAAAAATATAAACATCATCAAATGTTGTTGCAGGTCAATTAACTGCATTCAAGATGGACAAAATGTCTTTGGTTTAAAAATAAATTATGTATAAATATCAAGATCAACATTTTGCAGAATGTGCCATGGATCTCAAAGTCCCAAAAGTTTTTTTGTAGAATAATATTGTAGATAAGACGTTTTCTTTGTTGTAGAAGAATTTGGTCCCTAGATTCTACTGTGGAGTGCTTGTTACACATTAGAAGTTTTCTTTGTTGTAGAAGAATGTGGTCCCTAGATCCTACTGTAGAGTGCTTGTTACACATTAGAAGTTTTCTTTGTTGTAGAAGAATTTGGTCCCTAGATCCTACTGTAGAGTGCTTGTTACACATTAGAAGTTTTCTTTGTTGTAGAAGAATTTGGTCCCTAGATCCTACTGTGGAGTGCTTGTTACACATTAGAAGTTTTCTTTGTTGTAGAAGAATTTGGTTCCTCCTACTGTGGAGTGTTTGTTACACATTTTGTGGAGGGTCATGGAAAGAGCCCCAGGCCCACAGAAAAACACCCCCACACTGGTACTGAAACCAAGAATGAAACATATTAAAAAAACATTCAACAAATCTGGAAACTCAGATTTATCAAACTCTTCAGTTTTGCATTGAAATATATTTATATCTTCAAACCTTGGGTGACTTTTAGCAATGTCCTGGAAAATCTTGTCCCAGTTTGGTCGTCCATAATGTGTCTTTTGTGCTAGCCCAGTCACCGGGTCAACATCCTCATGTTCATGTAAAATAATGTTTTGGGCCTGAAAGCAAAAATATTGTCTAAGATTAATGTATAATTTTTAATTACTAAACTCCCACCAAGGGTATGACCAGGAGGCTGTCTTTATTAATACCCCCTCCACCTCAAAAACAATGCATAAGAAAAGTATTTCAGGAAGAGGTCAATCGTACATGCTTTATCAATGGGTATGCAAGTCTTGATTTTTTACAATTCAGTAAAGAAAAATATCAAGCTTCGTCTTTAAGAAGAATATTTTTTATAAATCAAGAGGGGCCACTATGCTCAGGTGAGTAAAAATCATGTTTATTTACGGGGCTTCAGTTATCCCCCTTTTCCAATGACCTCTTTTTATTAGTTACAACTAGTATACATATGATACAGTCAGTAAATACATTTCACTCTGTTTTCACTGTTTAACAACTATTGTTGTTATTTGTCATCCCATTACATGTGTCCAATTTCCTAGTCAAGTAGATATAATATCTAAGGATATTGCCTATAATTACCTGGTTTTTGTCCCAGCCCCGTGTTAAGTAGATATAGTAATTGAGAAACTCGCTGTGACCGTCTTCAGCCATTTGTTGGTCAAAGTTCTTCAGAAGATCGTTAATCCATTCAAAAGAGTTGGTGTCTGGACACACCCAGTAAAAGTACACCTTTCTCAGCTTCATGTCTTCTTTGGATTCTTTGTGTTTGTGCCTGTTAATAGTGATGTTAATACATATAAAAATCTCATACAAATCTACCGCACTCATTCCAGACACAAGAACAGAAACAAAACCTAACTAGTTGACAAAGATAAAAGTATTTCTTTGTTATCATACCAGATATGTCTCAGGATGGAAGCAAATGGAGTGACTCCAATACCCCCCGCCACGAATACATCAACTTCATACCAGAAAATATCCTACAGATTATATAATAAGATGTTTCAATAATACATGTAATTGTACCATAAGCTGCATAAAATTCATGAAATTCTTATCTTCAGAATAATCATTTTACCTCTGTAGCTGTTCCAAACGGTCCATCCACTGCTAACCTAGAAAAAGGAATAGATTAACATTCCCCAATTATTAGAAAGGCAAAATGAAATAAGCCTTGTACTAAGATACTTGCTACAATTATATTTGAGCCACTTTTAAAACATTTAAAGCAATGAGAAATGCAAATCAGATGAAAAAACATGATCCATGTGACCTAATTATAGTATGTTATGTTAAGAAAATAGAATTTTATATATACATGCATGTAAATGCATGTACATATTTGGTAGGTAGGCCACATTAATGTGTTCATTATTTCAAACATATACCTTGGCATTTTCCTTGAAGATTGGAATTCTCCATCATCAACGTAGCACGCCTTAGCGAGTGCCTCTGTCCAATCACCGGCTCGTCTGATGTGTACAGAAAAATAGTCATCTTCAGGGGCCTGAAGGAATACAGCAGCATCTATATTACACTAATCTAATTATGTAGCTATGCTGTAAGTTTACTGGTCTTGGTGCAATCAAATAAAAGAACGTTTTCCAACATAAACTTCATTTAACCCAACATACATGTAAACTTAATTTCAATATGCATTTATTTACAAGTACATTATATTACATGATATACACAAATTTCATTTACATGAAAGATGACCAAGAAGTCAAAATGTTAATTAACGTTATATCATTGTGATTACTAAGTCTTGATTTTATAAGTAATTTACAAAAGCATCATTAGAGACTACCTACTGAGGTAAGCGTGAAAGGATGCCATTCCAGACTAGAGATGCTGGGACAATGGAGAAATATGTACTGTCCTGGTCCCATCTTAAAACCTTTCTTCTTCATCTGCAGCTCATAGACTTTGGAGGGATGTTGCACCACCTGGAATAAGATTTTAAAAGTATTTTCTAAGCTTTTACAGGAAAATTAACTGGAGGAAATGGTCATTATTAATACTTTGAATTTTGATTTGAAATCAGAATGTTGATGTTACCTTGGAAACGACCACTTTCTGGGTACTTCTCCAGAATCTGACTGCCCTCTCTATGAAGTATATGACCAGTGGTGCCACCACCCACTTCCAAGCCTGATAAAACAGTTTGTGCTAATTGAAAGACTCCTATCTTATATTATTTTCATTTCATATCTCATTTAAAATATTTTAATTCATAAAACTAGAAATATGTTTTCATAAGACATCAATGCCCCACCCAAGGTTCATGAGTATGCAACATGAAGAATTGTATTAGTGAATAATGTTTGTTGAAAATATCTTTAAGAGTATCTTTTAAACTGAGTTTTATAAACAATAAATAGTTAAGTCAAAAGGTCATTGAGAAGGTTAAGGTAAAAAAAAAATAATTGGACACAGTTGGTAAATCTTACCAAATAATGTATCAGTGCATAAGCTTATATAAAAAATATCTTGAACAGTTTCTTTTAAACTGAGCAAATCACAAATTTAAGAAAAGTGAGGTCAAGGTGAAAGGAAAGGTCAAGGTAAAAAATGTTGATGCAATTTAACAACCCTCATCAAAATGTATAGGCATATATGAAGTTTGATAAAAATATTTTGAATAGTTTCTTTGAAATTTACCTAAACACAATTTTGAACTCAAGGTGAAAGCAAAGTTCAAGGTCAAATATGTTGATGCCATTGAATAGCTCTCATCAATATGTAAAAGCATATCAAGATTGATAAAAATATATTGAATAGTTTCTTTGCAATTTAGCTAAACACAAATTTCACATCAAGATCAAAGGAAAGGTAAATGTCAAAAATTTTGATGCAGTTGAATAGCTCTCTCCTATGTGTAACAGCATATTAGATTTGCATGTTTAAAATATTTTAACAGTTTTATTGAAATTGAAATGAACACTGTTTTAAGAAAAGTTAGGTCAAGATCACAGGAAATGTCAAGGTCAAAAAATGTTGATGCAGTAGAACAACTCTCATCAATAGGAGTAAGTATAAGCATAAAAGGTTTAATAAAAATATCTTCATTGAAACTTAGCTAAATACAAATTTAAGACAAGTGAAGTCAAGGTCAAAGGAAAGGTCAAGGTCATAAAATGTAGATGAAATTGAAAAGTTCTCATCAGTATGTATCAGAATAAAAGGTTTGATAAAAATATCTTGTGTAGTTTCTTTGAATCTGAGCTAAACACTAATTTAAGAAAAGTGAGGTCAAGGTCACAGGAAAGGTCATGGTTTAAAAATTAGAATGCAGTTGAACAGCTCTCATCAATATGTACAAGCATATAAGGTTTTATAAAAATATCTTAATTTTCTTTGAAATTGAGATAATCACTAATTTAAGAAAGTAAGGTCAAAGTCAAAGGAAAGATCAAGGTCAAAAATGCTGATGCAGTTGAATAAATCTCAACAATATGTATCAGCAAATAAAGTTTGATTAAAATATCTTGAATAATTTCTTTAAAACTTAGCTAAATTCAAGTTTAAGGAAAGAAATGTTAAACGTAAGGTTTGATAAAAATATGAATAGTTTCAAAGAACACTTATATAAGAAAAGTGAGGTCAAGGTCAATGGGAAGGTCAAAGTCAAAAAATGTTGATGCCTTTGAAAAGCTCTTATCAATATGTATCAGCATATGAAGTTTGATAATTAATATCTTGAACAGTTTCTTTGAAACTGAGCTAAACACAAAGTGTGACAGAAGGATGGAAAGTTGGAAGGATGCAAAATGGATACAGTATGACAAACACTATAAGCCCCAGCCATATTCATGGTGGGGCATAAAAATTAAAATCAAAACAATGTTAAAAACAAACAATTTTAGTAGTAGTAGAATTCCTAGCTTTATTTTTCGGCAAAATTGTCTCTTTTTCTAAATATATAACTTCCTTATTTTGTTTAACATTTTAATATGCCTGATACACTTTGGGTCTTACATTGGGTTCCAGACCCACAAACTGAGGGATGGGGCATCCTCCTGGTCTCCCCCAGTTCTCGAAGCTGGCCATACATTGCTGTGGATTGTGTTCTGCCACATTACTCTGTCGCCTCACTATCCCCCTATAATGAACATAGTTTTCAGTTATATTTTAATCATATTGCTTAAGTTACTGAATTTTCTCATGCTGGGATGGAAGCAAAGTCATGCTGTTGCCCCCCCCCCCCCCCCACTCTCCATATTACATCAGGTTTCAAACATGCACTCAGAAACATTGACAGCCCTGATCAAACCCTGAATAATAATACAGATCAAAGCATTAAGTTACTGTTATCTCACTTTTTGAAAGAGAGGTCATTTTCATTTATACACGATTGGGATATCATGTGATATGCTCTCAGCCAATCAGAATGAAAAACTTTGATACTTACTGGAATCCATGAACAATGACACCGATGAAAAAGAGGATGAAAAGATGATGAGTAAACCAGAAAATCTCAAAATATGAACGTCTGAAATAAAGTACATTGTATAAACCAGAAAATTTCAAAATATGAACATCTGATATAAAGTGTACATGTTCTATTATAGTTATTTCACACTATAGTCATATGATATTACTTGAAGAGTATATTGATAATATCCAGCAACTTAAATTCAATCTCATTGTGACACCTTTCATGTTAAGTTATTTTACATGTAGATGCTTTTCTTTTTTCTTCTTCTATTTTTGTAGCAGTTTTCAATATTTTGCTCAGATAAAATGGTATATACTTAATCCTGACAGCTGACTTTTTTGTTACATAATCTACCTGATGAGCTCAGTTGCTGAGGAAACCATGACAATGAGTATGAGTGTGATGACGACGCCTGACACACCGGATAAAGTCTTCAGTGCCTCCTTAACAGCATCCTGTAGTGTTGGGAAGTAGCAAAAAAATATTAGATTACTAGGAAGTCATGCATACCGATAATGGGAAGTAGTGGAAAATGCTAAAAAAAATATCAGATCAATACTAAGTCATAGGTTTTATCTTCATCATATCATTGTGAATATTTGCTTCATTAGACTTAAGTGATCTGAAGGAATAAATGAGTCACCTGCCATAGAGTTGTTCTTAAAACTGGCCTTGAAACCAAAATAGTGTCATGGTCATTGTAATGAACAATTTTATGACAATTTATAGAGATGAGAACATCAAACAAGATCTGATTTGTAAGCATTACTGCATGCTAAGTCATCTATCCAGACACATACTTGATAATTAAAAGCTATTTTTAATTAATGTGATCATCTGATAACCAACAGTACTTAGCAGAAACAATATTTATGTCTTTTCTAAGCTTTATCCCTATTTTTTATTTAATGTTGTAGATAGTGGTTTCTTTTTATACTGCCCCATATTACACATGCATAAATCTCCATCCATTTAGTTGATACACATATCTTAAATAAACTGCCTTCAATTTATTTCTGTCGTTGTATTTTATTTAAGTCAAGCATCCTGGATACTTACAGTGTTAGGAGAATCTATGAAGTTTAAGAATGTTGTGTTAACACTTGGATTATCTCGATAGGAGCTGAGCATCGCTAACAGTTCACGATTGGCCGTATCTCTACTGTTATATGCTTCCCTGTAGCGCTCTACATTAAATATGTGGGCTCCCAAATGTATTGCTGGAATTTCAAAACATTCATTTAATGTAATGCTATAGAAAGATATAGGAAGCTACACAGATTTTTGATAATCTACATACTTTTGTCTGAAATATCATTTTAATCTTCACTGAGTTATCTCCCATTTGGAGCCAAATTTTTAAATTCATGACAAAATGGAATTTTTAAGTAGTCTTAAAAAATTATCTTTCTTTCCTTAATATCATAATTATAAACCTATAGAATTGTTTGAGTGGTTTAAGAATTAATATATCAGAAATATGAATTTGTCACAGTTTCACCTATTCTAATGCTGAGCTTGATTACATGCAATCAAATCAGATTCATAATAAATCAGTTTTGCAATTTAGTACTAAGTAACTGTAATTATTAAGTACATCAAAACAATTTCAGTTTTAGAATTGAGACCTCACATGCAAAAATATATTTTACACATGTTAATTTTCTATGAGAAGAATTATTTTGACACTTTTCTCTTATGAATATGCAGAAAATCCTGCTAATGAGAGACTCAGTCATGAAAAAAGATTTTCTCCTATCACAACTCCAAGTGAAACCATCTCTAAAGATTCACAGGTTCTGAATCAAGAATTCTATCAGATTTAGTTTCCAAAATCCAAGTACCGGTGTTATAAGTAGGATTTCCCCCATAGCCAGCTTCCCCCGTAATCTGTACTTTAGAGTAGGACTTCTCCCAAAGGGGAAATTTCACAATACAGCAAAATTACCCCTTTCTTTCTCAAAGTAGAAATTCCCCTATTTCATTATTGCTAAAATCATACCAACAATATTTTGGCTAAAAGTTTATAGTTATTTAAGTCAACTGACTTTTTTTTAATGGAAATATGAGTGTTTTCCACTCAAGAATTTTTCAATTTAAGTATGAAATCTTAAAATATATATATCAAATCATTGAGTCTCAACCAAAAATTTTAACCCATAGAAATTTGTAAAATTAGTCACTCAAAAAATCGTAAGACTCGATGTCTCAACACATCTCTTGGTGAAGTGGTTCCTGTTTCTAAAATTCATATTATTGATAAGATTCAACATACAATTTTGTGAGTATTTGAATCTAGAAGTTCTTCAAAAGTATTAAAAAAAAATGACCAAATGCATATTTATCAACCCACAATAAAAATACAGGCAATGAAAATAGATTTCTATGTCTCAGCAAATGTCTTTAGATAGTGTCTAAATACCTGCCAAATATCTCGTTGATATCTCAATTAACAAAAAAATTATGCCCAAAAATGATGCTAAAATTGTCAGGAGTGCAACACCTATTTGTGACATTTTGAAATTTCAATATTTTTTGGAGATCTGTGAAATAAATAATAATGCTTTATGTTGAAAATAAAGACTTTCCTGATAATATTCAAAGTATTGAGCTTTAAATGTGCGCTATAGTAACTTTTGTTTAATCAAGTTGTGGTCATGGCTAATGTTTAAAAAAATGTTATACCATGTCAGGAGTGCAACAGAAAATATGTAGTGTTGCCAAAAAAACATCAATTGTAAAATTCTGAAAGAAAATTAAGACAAAAAAGAATTTTCGAAGTGTAAAACAATAACTGATATACATTTTAAAACTTAAAAATGTTATATAAATCACAAGCAGCATTAATTAGAGTCAAGTATATGTGCATACCCAATAATGTCAGGAGTGCAACATTTGATGTTTTGCTCCCAAGCATGAAACAAGAGGCCCATGGGCCACATCGCTCACCTGAGTAACTTTGGCCATGCTGTTCATTACCAGACTCCCCCCTTGTAATACCTATTGTGGCCCCACCCTCCCCCCAGGGGCCATGATTTGAACAATTTAGAATCTACACTACCCCAGGATGCTTCCACATAAGTTTCAGTTTTTCTGGTCCAGTGGTTCTTGAGAAGATTTTTAAAGATTTTTCCTATATATTTCAATGTAAAACTTGGGATTCCCCCTATTGTGGCCCGCCCTACCCCCGGGGGTCATGATTTGAACAATTTACAATCTACACTTCTCCAGGATGCTTCCACATAAGTTTCAGCTTTTCTGGTCCAGTGGTTCTTGAGAAGAAGATTTTTAAAGATTTTTCCTATATATTTCAATGTAAAACTTGTATTTCCTATTGTGGCCCCGTCCTACCCCCGGGGGTCATGATTTGAACAATTTACAATCTACACTACCCCAGGATGCTTCCACATAAGTTTCAGCTTTTCTGGTCCAGTGGTTCTTGAGAAGAAGATTTTAAAAGATTTTTCCTATATATATTTCAATGTAAAACTTGGATTCCCTATTGTGGCCCCGCCCTACCCCCGGGGGTCATGATTTGAACAATTTACAATCTACACTTCTCCAGGATGCTTCCACATAAGTTTCAGCTTTTCTGGCCCAGTGGTTCTTGAGAAGAAGATTTTAAAAGATTTTTCCTATATATTTCAATGTAAAACTTGGATTCCCTATTGTGGCCCCGCCCTACCCCCGGGGGTCATGATTTGAACAACTTAGAATCTACACTACCCCAGGATGCTTCCATATAAGTTTCAGCTTTACTGGCCCTGTGGTTCTTGAGAAGAAGATTTTTTAATGACCCCACCCTATTTTTGTCTTCTCTTGATTATCTCTCCTTGTGAGGGGACTTGGCCCTTCATTTTAACAATTTAAATTCCCCTTCACCCAAGGATGCTTTGTACCAAGTTTGGTCAAAATTGGCCCAGTGGTTCTTGAGAAGAAGTAAAAAATGTGAAAAGTTTACAGACGGACGGACAGACAGACGGACGGACAGACGGACAGACGGACGACGGACAAAATGTGATCAGAAAAGCTCACTTGAGCCTTCGGCTCAGGTGAGCTAAAAACTATTATCATTATATGATTTTCTGATTTTTATTTTTGAAAAGAAAGACAAAGAACATTTTTACCAAATAGATTTATCAATTACCGGATCTGTCTGTGCTTCAGGTCTATATTTCTATGGTCAGGAGTGCAACACATTTTTTTAAAGATTCAAGTTGTGTGACGAGAACACTTCTATTCATGCTTAGACATATTCATTAATTAATAATGATCTTTTTGTATAATTTAATACTAAATTATTGACAGTTTTATTATTAAAATCCTTCCTTTTTCAATTTTATCAATTCAGATGTGTTTTTATCTTTTTTGTGATTTTTTTAATGAATATTAAAAATAAACACCCTAAAAAATTGTTATAAAATTCAAGTACATGTCATTCCTCCTCAACTTCACTGAAACAACAGAACAAGTTCTTATTTAATTTTCACTTCACAATTCTACTTTAAAGGTCCCAATGCTTTTGGTCAGGAGTGCAACAAATATGTAAGAATTATAAATCATCCAATAAGAATAAAAATAAAGAAAAAATGATGAGTAGAATTTTTCTGGTGAGTTACTGTGTTTGTCCTCTAAATAGAGGATATTCAATGTTTTGTAGATGAATATGGAATTTATTTCACGAGTGGGACAGGATTTTTTGATATTTTCACGAGTGCGAAGCACGAGTGAAAATATCAAAAAATGCTGTCTCACGAGTGAAATAAATTCCATATTCATCTACAAAACATTGAATTTTCTGTTTATTACATTTTCTTTGATTTTCCCTTTGCCTCTGTCTTTTCTTAACACAGTGCCATAGGCTTGACGTCATAGTTGAGCGGTTGAGACATCATAGCTTAGAAGTTGTGTGTCAGATTGAAAACATTACATAGCATGGATTTTAGCAACATATTTAGGAAGAAATTTGCAGTTTTAGCTCTATCAAGATGCTTAGTTACTATCTCTATCTTATGACAGGCCAGAAATTATTTTTTACTTACTTTGATATCCTTTCACACTGTGAGAGAATATCATTTTTGGTATTCTTTCACACTGTGAGAGAATATCACTTTTATTCAATAAATAAATCACAGTATTTCACTGTTGAAAATGTAATAAAGTAAAATATGCTATAAAATATATTTATCTTCTAAATATACATTTAAGCTAGTTTTTTGGCATAAATTAGGGAATAATTCCAGATAAAATGCGAATTTTAAATACTTTCATCTGTTTAAATACTGAAGTATTGGGCTATAAATATTGCACAATTTCATTACCACTTGATGTTGCCAACACTTTATGAATTTTTGTGTTCTACGGTTTTAATTTTAAAGAGCTAGGTTCACTTTATACATAAAATGGCCCTGTAGATAAACCAATTTATCCACTAACACACTATGTCCCTTTCTCAACATCAATATAAAGTAGAGACTTGGTGCTTTCAATTTGTATATAAAAGTTTTCTCTAAAGAGTTCAGGTACAGGAAAACAGGTTGTGTGAAATTGCAGTGTTCTTCAGTTTTGCAGAAAACAGTTGAATTTGAGACCATTCAACAAAGAATGAAAATATGAGCACACCCCTCGATCCAAAAATTAAAATATGTTTTATAATCTTAAAAAGCAGTTCTTTCATTATATATTTGCAGATTTTGGATCGCAGGTTGTGCTGTATACGAAATATTAAAAAATAGCTTCATATTTTGACCATTTTTGAAGAAATATTCGGGATATGTGAATAATGACGCAATTCATGACTTCATAATGCATTAACTAGGAAGAAAATTTTGTCATTGTCGGTAGAAATTCAGTCACCAAGTGTTCTAGTGATATTTATTGCCTTGTCGACTAAAAGTATGCAGTTTTCATTTTTCATAAATTTACAGGGCCAAAAAAGGCCCTAAGTGGCCCTTGCTCTTTTACTGCAGTCAAGAGTGCAACAAAACTGCTTTATAATTACCAATGCTTTTCAACTCTCTTTACTAAAAATTGAGTTAAAAAAAATGTTTGATACTATTTGATGTTCAAAACACTATGTCTATCAATAAATTACAGAAATTTTCCAGTCAATTCAGGGAATAGTTTTCATCATTTCACATATAGTTTTATATACAATTCATATATATTACACTTTGCAAATAATCATGTGTCAAGGTCTTCAATATATGAAAAACCTGCCGTAAACGATCAAAAATATCAAAATGACAAATTAATTTACAAAGTAAGAATGGGTTATTGTGTGTTATAATTTTTAAAACAATGTTAAATAAAATACATATCAGATGTCAGGAGTGCAACACAATAATGTAACATAGGGTCACTTCAAAATCTAGTATTTTTTTGCAAGAGAACTCGTATATAAAAATTCTTTTTTGGCTTAGATTTAAAGAATCGGCTTGAACGGACAAAAAAGTGAAATTTGGGGAATTTTATTGCTTCATATTTTTTTCATATTAAAACTTTTCAAACCAGAATTGAAAAAATAATGTACAATAACAATCAAAAAGCCATTTTTTTTGGACACACATACAAGAGAAGATACTCAATCAAGGTCTAGATTTAATCATTTATACCCCTTTTACCATTTTGAAGCATAAAAAACTATAATTTCTTGTGATTATGTATTTTAGAAAGTCTTTTAAGGTGTAATGATATTTTCTTTTTTCAAAAGAAATTTTACAAATAAAAATTCTGAAACTTTTTAATCCAACTGTCTATTCTATTGCCACTTCAGGATTTTTAACTAGAATGCATGTGCAATATGATGATATAAGTGAAAAATATGTTAGAAGTAGTTGAATTTTTCCAAAAAATTTCAGTTTGGTGGTCATTTTTTTTAATTCACCCAAAACCGAAAGAGTATAAGAAACATTGAATTTGTAAGCCATAGCATATTATGTCCCCTTGACCCTAGCCAGGTAATTTTAGATTTTTAAAGCAGAGAGCACATATATTCTCTTAAAGTTTTGAAAAATTTCAAATTTTTAGAAATTGACCCATTTTAGTTCCATAGCAACAGCAGCTATTTTGGTATTTTCACATATTTATGCTTATGTAGTTTGAAATACAATTGGAAAAAAAAAATCCATTTAAAACAAACTTCCTCCTTTTTGTGTCAATGGCTACAGTTAACTTTTTTTTTTTTTTGCAGAAACCAGTTTGACCAAACAAAAAGAATAAGACTTTAATGCTCCAAAGGAAATGGTTGTGCAGTTACTGAAAAAAATGAAATTAAAAAATCTAAATTTTCATACCTTCAAATTGTATGTTTCAATGGAAATGGACATTTTGAAAATATAAAATACTGAATGTACAACTTAACTTTTATATTAATTTTAAGTTTTATTAGGATTGTCTACTGCGAGATCATCTGTGGGAAAATTATAGAAGGGACACTTGTAACAAAGTGCCGCCCCCCCCTCCCCTCTTATCCTATCATATATAAGTTCAAGCATAATATTTTATTTGGGGATGGGGGGTATTGTCTCTGGAGGAAATTGCACTCTATCTCTCTTAAACAGAGTAGGATTTCCCACCAAAAAACTGAATCTGGTGTGAGATAAATCCTACTCTAGTCATTTTTCCATGGGCGAAATCCTACTCTAGAGGCTATTTTCTAGGAGTGGGTGGGAATGGGGGTGTCTTTCTCTAGAGCCTATTTTCCAGGGAGTGGATTCTACTCTACAGCCAGTTTTCCCCGGGGGTGGGGGAGGGGAGTGAGATTAGAAGGGAAAACCTACTTTATAAGACCAGTATGTACAATCAAAAATTGTAGATTTTTAATTCCTTTGTAATAAAAACACTACTTAATGAAGGAAATTATGCTATATTTATTCGCAGGGGGTACTTCATTAAAATTATTCTTTACCTGTATGTATACATATCATGTAAGCTATGTATCGATGAAATGTGATGTGTTTGTCCAACAGGCGACGTATATTTCTATTACAACATCTCTAAAAAAATAAAAGAAATAAATTGATTTTTCCATGTTATGTATCATTTTTAACCATATTTTTTTTTTTAACTTCACTTAAACCATTATACAAAATTAACATGATATGGAATTAGTCACTGTTTTGAAATTAAAGTAATGGAGTTTAAAGAAATTTCTTGTTATTATTACACATTTATTTAAAAAAAGCAGAATTTGAAAAATCAAAGAGATGTTTGCTAACTGAAAAACTTACTGCTAATGGCCTGTAAAAAATAAATAATGTTGACTTATCTGATGTTCAGTGCATTCGTACTTACTTGAAATGATCCTCTAATGGCTGATAACAAATTTCTACACACCGGTAATAAAATTAGCATGCAATTGAGATTGAGGCAAGCAGCACTTGCTCGTGCCCAGGGCAGGGCAGGCTACAACAAAGAAAACAAAATAGACAATAATGAGTGAGATTGAGGCTTGGGCCCTGGGGCAGTCAATACCCTGGTAGATAAATTAAAATAACTATAAATAAATCAGTTTAAACATATGCAGGTGATACTGAGACTCACACTGGGTACAGTCCAGACCGGGACAAAGTCAGAAAAAAAAAATAAGTGAGATTGAGATGACTGGACAATAATGGCCCAGGTTATCTGTATTTCCTATACACATATGTATTTTCCTATTAAAAACTTTGATGCCCTGTTGAGGTCCTACCCTACCCCCGTGGGTCATAATTTGAACAAACTTGAATACACTACCTAAGGATGTTTATGTATTAATATGACTAATAATAGCTTAGCTGTTCTTGAGAAGATTTTTAAAGATATTTCCTATATATTCTTATGTAAAAACTTTGATCCCCTGTATAGGGCCCCACCCTACCCCTGGGGTCATGATTTGAAAACTCTTGAATCTACACTACCTGAGGATAGTTCTGTATTATGTTCATGATGTGAACAAATTTGAATCTACAGTATGTAATAAAGCTTTCATGTAAGATTCATCTTTTCTGGTCCAGAGGTTCTTGAGAAGAGGATTTTTAAAAGATGCCACCAAATTTTAAGAAATTCTTAATTATCTCCCCTTGAAAGAAGGTTGTGGCACTTCTTGTGAATAAACTTAAATTCCCTTCACCCAAGTATCTGGCAAGTTTGGTTGAAATTGGCCCAGTGGTTATTGAGAAGAAGTTGAAATTGTGAAAGTTTACAGACAATGGATGACAGATGGACAGCTTCGGACACTCTTCAATCAAAAAAGCTCACTTGAGCCTTTGGTTCAGGCGAGCTAACAAGGAATTAGCATATACAACCAACTTTAAATTGTAACAAGAAGGAAAAGAATTTGACGGATCAGATCAGGATTCTAATCCAGGTCCTCTGAATCACTAGTCCAGTGCTCACAGTACAATCTGACCAATCTGGCCACCATTGATCAAACCTGTCTGACCGCCACAAAATGAATCATTATCATTTTTTAATAAGTGTAAAGTTTTACTTTAAAATATTGCAAAAAATAAAAGTACTGGTAATTTTTCTATTACATACCCCAAGCATGAGATTTGTATAATCATAATATATCTGGAGGAACCGGAAATAGGTCACCACAAAGTATACAATGTTGGCAATCAACCACAGAGTCTGAAAAAGATAAAAAAAAAATTTGTATGTTACGTATCTTATCATGAAAAAGTATTCTGCAAAGGACAGTTGACCTCAAGACTCTAAATTAAGGACAGATTTAAGTCAAAATTTTGATTTTGAGTATCTTGAGTTTCTTCAAACATGTCAAATAACATGAATAATTATAATGTGCATAAAAAATTGCAGGTTTGTAAAATATTTTAATTAAAACAAATAAATGATGAAAATTTTGTTTCTTTATCAAAATTATTTCAAAATATATAATGATTTGAAATTTTGACAGTCTGTTCTCAGTTTGTATTGGGGCCTGACTGATATACCAAGGTTCTTACACAGCACATACAGACACACAGTCAAAGTCAAAATAAGGAAAATCAAACAGCACACTCATGATTGGATGTGACATGATTATAATGATACTTATAAAATGAGCTATTTGGTAAAAAATATAATAAAACAACATGAACAAGGTCTTAGCAAACATCTTCTGCTTGGTCACCAAATAATGTTTTATTGCATCTTATCAGTGTACGTGAGTTTTGGGTAAGGGGCTAACAATGATCATGCCCTATAGTACATCAGGAAATAAGGGTTTCCTATGTGTAAGGGCTATCTCATCATATACTTGATTAACTGTCGTAATTCCTGGCCCAGTCTGAATCCTGTTCATTTAAGTGTTCAAGTATTTACATCAGAACACATGTATAATCACTCAGAGAAATAATTTTAACATGCAGCAACAGGAAATATAAATGAAGAGGCCTACACTTACACATGTACTTTGATTGCATATTATTTATTAAGTTCAACATGTTCAAGTATAATAAGCATATTTTCAATTTATTTTTTATTAAACATGCCAATCTGCACTAAAAATATCAAAAAAGACCCACCCCATAAGATATGCAGTTCTATGTAGTACAAGTGTTCTTACAGATGTTGAATAATTTTAACTGATTCAGAGGAAGTTTATTACGAGTTCCTTGTCCACAAAGTACACATAGTTAATAGCCCGCTTTTAGTTCACACGTTAAAATAGTTTGCTTTTCAGAATGATCAGGTAGTGGGTTTTATTAGACCGAACAGTCTGATTAGAAAAGGAAACTGAAATTTCCTTTCCATATTTGAATTTCAAATTTTAGTAATCACAAAGCTTACAAATTTTTCATATAAAAGCATTAAATTATTCTTTCAAAATTAATGTCCATGCAGTCATTTCACTTATTTTTTTCTATGAAACTTTGAGATAAAAATAAAATTATCCAAAAAATTAAAAAACCAACCCCCCCCCCCCCCCCAAAAAAAAAAAAGAAAAGAAAAGAAAAGAAATTCATGATATACATGTAGATTCTAATTAAAACTTTGAAGAATATTTTTAATATAAGGTTAAAATCTTTATATTTTATGTTCAAGGGAAATATTGAATATTGTATTAGAAATCCATTTTATGCACAAAAACAGATTTCTCCCCATTTGATGCAGAAGATATACATTAAAGCTGAAACAGACACCGCAGAATAAGATTCACTATCTGGCTCTAGTCTAAGCAATAGACTGTACATGATGAAATGTAGGGTGGCTAATCAAACACTGCACTAAGTGCTATCTGATACTTACAATCACTAGCCATCTTGGCAAGTCGTTCAAAATTCTTGCCATAGTCAAATTAATCCAGCTACACTAGACTAAGACCAGCAATGAATCACGTCTTCACGTCTGGCGGTTTGCGTGGTTGTCATCCGATATGTTTGTTTATCCGAGGAATTTCGAAACTTCATTTATGTCTTCTTTAGGTAAAATCTAATATTATATATACGTTATGTCCATTTCCAGCATTTGTTATCCACCCTATACAGTGACCAAATCAATTATATCCATCTATAAACAGCGACACATGTATTATTACAAACTTTTGTTTTGCTTCTTGAAAGACACGCCCACTGCATAGAAGTAAAATTCAAATAGGATCGGATTTAATTCCGTATTCTGGGAACATCAGCATCATCAGCAGTTTATCAATCAGAGAATCTGTTCAAGTTTAAAAATTACTTTATACACCAATTACCTTATCACACACTTCAAATAGATCTCCAGATCTAATAACATGTTTTAAGTAAAAGACATCTATGCTGGCAGAACAGGCACTTAATTGTTTAGAACTGTAATTTTGTTAACCTGATATAATAATAACACAAGGTATCTAACACCAGGCACTCGTTTTTTTGTAATAAATTTTTTCACCCAAAGCCCATAGTATAATAATATGTGCTATTATTACACTATGGGTTGAAAAATATTACAGAAACAACTGCTTAATTGTAGCTGACAATGTCTGTATGTGGTTCTCAATCTTTGCCCCATGGAGCCTAGCTGAACATATTATTGTATCTAATATAGAAAAAAGATAATCTTTATGATCACTTAACAGGCCCGTAAGAAGCAATTTCAGTTGTGGGGTGGGGGTGGTAAACAAAGAAGCTTTTTCAGTTTGAGGGGGGAGGGGCAAACAAAAATTCCTTAACAGGCAAAGAAAAAAAAAGGAAGAAAGAAAAAAAGGTCATCAAGTGTAATTAATGAAGGGGCACATCCATAAAGTAGCTTTCTTTTTTAATAATATACTATATATCGCCAATATTATTTGGGGGGGCGGTTCCCCCTTCTCCGGATCCTATTGGTTTGCCTGAAGTCATCAATGCTTTTATACTAGGGTATTGAATTAGGATAAAATTGAAAAGTTAAAAGATATTTGTCCTGAAGTCTCTTTGTTAAGGAAGCACTGAATGTGGAATGCCTCATCTTATCTACCGGATAATGTTTGACAAATGAAGATTCAAATGCATGCGTTTCGATGACAATTAAAGAGTATAGAATTATTTCAGAAAGCATTACACTGCTTTTCATTACATTGTTTTTTTTTTAGGATGAACGATGTTGAAAAATTAAAGATGTCTCTTAAACTACCGTTGTTGTAGGAAAATTAAAGAGATATGGACCATAACTTTTCAATTATTTCAACAGCAACAAACATTTGGCATTTATACATGTATATTTTCTTTGTCCAAAGTTATGGATATTATCAAAATATCTCTAGCAAAATTTGAATCATCGGATCCAGAGGAAAAGGGAAATTAAAGATGGAGACTAAAAAGAAATATAGAGTTTTACGACGTCGTAAGTCAGCCATATACGGAAGTAAAAAGAATTCTTGAGCAACTTGAAAGAGTGGCCGTGATAGGAGCACCTAACACGGAACAGTATGACTTGACTGCCAGAAGAGTGTTTTTGATAGTCATTGGCCAAACTATGCATTCAATGTTCACTCACAAACCAGATCACTGATACACCAGGTACAGATACAGCTTTATCATGCAGATAGTAAGTAAGGATAAAATAAGAGAAAAGTACATAAAGAAGAAATGTAACATACGATCAGTTATAAATTAGGGTTCAGGGAGAAGAGACAGCCTTTAAAATATAAATAAAATAAAACTAATTAAACAAGCAGGATGTGTGTCCTGAATGAGTGAATTAAAAAAAAAGACCAACACATTGAATTTTGTTGAAAAAATTCAACTACCCATAACATATGTATTTTTCACTTATATCATCATATTGTACATGCATTCTAGTTAAAATTCCTTAAGTTGCAATAAAATAGACAATTGGATAAAAAAGTTTCAGAATTTTTATTAGTAAAACTTTATTTCAAAAAAGAAATTATCACTACATCCTAAAAGACTTTCTTAAATACATAATCAAAAGAAATAATAGTTTTTTATATATTTCAAAATGGTATCAGGGATATAAATGATTAGATCTAAACCTTGATTGAGTTTCTTCTCTTGTATATGTGAAAAAAATGGCTTTTTGATTGTTATTTTACTTTATTTTTTTCAATTCTGGTTTGAAAATTTTTAATATGAAAGAAATACGAAACAATGAAGTTCCCCCAAATCAATTTTTTTTGTACATTTAGGTCTGTTCTTTAAATCTAAGCTAAAAGAGAATTTTGACATACAAGTTTTCTGACAAAAAATACTAGATTTTGAAGTGACCCTATGTTACATTACTGTGTTGCACACCTGACATCTGATATCTAATTTTATTTAACAATCTTTTAAAAATTATAACACACAATAACCCATTCTTAGTTTGTAAATCAGTTCGTCGTTTTTTTTTTTTTTGTTTTTTGTTTATATTTTTTATCATTTACGGCAAGTTTTTCATATTTTCAAGACTTCAAAACTTGGTTATTTGCAATGTGTAATATATTAGACTGTATTTAAAAATACGTGTTAAGTGATGAAAACTATTCTCTGAATTGACTGTAAATGTCTGTAATTAGTTGATAGACATAATGTTTTGAACATCAAATAGTATCAAACGTTTATTTCAATTCATTTTTTAGTAAAGTTAGTTGTTGATCTTTGATAATTATAGAACATTTTGTTGCACTCCTGACTGCAGTAAAATTAAAACCACAGCTAGAAAAAAAAATAGCTAAAATATATATTTAGAAGATAAAATTTATTTTATAGTATATTTTCCTTCACAGGACAAACACTATAAGCAACTGAGGTCAATCAGAAACATTCTACTCATTACTTTTTTCTTTATATTTATTCATATTTGATCAGTAATAATTCTAACATATTTGTTGCACTCCTGACCAAGAGCATGGGACTCTTTAAAGTAGAATTGTGAAGCGAAAAATTATATTAGAACTTGTTCCGTTGTTTCAGTGAAGTTGAGGTGGAATTTTTTTTAACTTTATAACAATTTTCAGTGTGTTTATTTTTTGCATTCTTAAAAAAATCGAAGAAAAGATAAAAACACATCCCGATTGATGAAATTGAAAAAAGAAGATTTTAAAAATAAAACTGTCAATTACTTAGTGCTAAATTATTCAAATAGATCATTCTTAATAAAAGAATATTTCTTAGCATGAGTAGAAGTCTTTTCGTCATATAACTTGAATCTTAAAAAAAAAATGTGTTGCACTCCTGAGCATATAAATATAGATCTGAAACACAGACAGACCCTGTAATTAATAAATCTATTTGGAAAAATGTTCTCTATCTCTTTATTTTCAAAAATAAAAACCAGGGAATCATATACTGATAAAAGTTTTTTCATGCTGGGGAACAAAACATCAAATGTTGCACTCCTGACATTATTGGGTATGCACAGATACTTGACTCATTAATGCTGCTTGTGATTTATATAACATTTTTAAGTTTTAAATTGCATATCAGTTATTGTTTTACACTTTGAAAATTCTTTTTTGACTTAATTGTCTTTCAGATTTTTAAAACCAATGTTATTTTGGCAACACTACATTTTTTCTGTTGCACTCCTGACAAGGTAGAACATTTTTTTCAACATCAGCCATGACCACAACTTAGTCAAACAAAAGTTGCTACAGTCTACATTTAAAGCTCAATACTTTGAATATTATCAGGAAAGTCTTTATTTTCACCATAAACCATTATTATTTACTTCAAGATCTTCAAAAAATATTGAATTTTCAATCTGTTACAAAAAGATGTTGCACTCCTGACATTTTTATCATCATTTTTGGGCATAACTTTTTAGTGAAATGAGATATCAGTGAGAGATTTGGCAGGTATTTAGACACTATCTAAAGACATTTGCTAAGACATAGAAATTTATTGCCTGTACTTTAGTGCAGGTTGAAAAATATGGGTTTGGTATTTTTTTTTTTTAATTCAGCCGCATAAGCAATACTTGTCCCCTACCAGAATATACATAGTCTGGTTTCCCTAAAAGAAAATTAATAAAAGCTTGTAATTCTTCAAAAATCATCGAAGCAGAGCAAAATGCAAATTTGATCTCTAACTCATATACCAGTAATCAGCTCAATACCTGCAAGTTTATAGCGAAAAAGCCTAGACACTGAGACCGATTGATTGACAGGAAGAGAGACAGACGGACGAACAGATGGAGAGGATACCTATAGCCTCCCTCCGGTTTCACCAGTAGAAGACTAATAACTAGTGATCAAAAATAAATAACGAGTTTTTTTTTTCATAAGATTGTTTGGAAGGAAGCTGATAATGTACAGAAATAAAAAAAATCATTAAAAATGAAATTAAAGAATATTTTTAACTTAAAAGTACTTAACAGTCCTTCAATTAAGAAGCAGCGGTGATGCGAGATGTCGATACTGAATTCGGAGATGGAGACATTTGCAGTGTCATCTTTTAATAGAGCACATTGGCAGAACATGCAGAGGTAGATCTCATTCCGTCTAACATTTATTGTAAACAATTGGGCATACAAGGTTCTATCGTACATGTGAAAATGTTCTAAAAGTGAGCAGGTTAATGCAAATCTCAAATGAGAAGCGAGTGAAGATTAAAACATTGCATGTACACAAACCACTTCAGTCTATCCTTGTTGTATTGTTAAAAAAAAATCTAAGGAACCTTCACACTGTTGAATTCTAGATATACGACAGTGGCAGTAAGCAGTTGACAGTTGGCGGTCGTATATGGAATTTCATAACCCCAAACCGCAATTTATTATTATTTTTTTAGGGGTCTATCTCTCTTTTACAATAAAAAACATATTGCTGTTGCTTCAGATACACTGAAATTCAATTCAACAAGGAAGTACAGAAGCAAGTGAGTTCTACAGAATTATTTCATCAGCAAAAGGAAAGTCTACGGATACTATAACAAACATTTCTTTAAATTGTCAGATACTTTAGGGATTCATGTCGAAAACAACTGAAATTCAAATCCTCTTTAAATATTAGATTATCATTTTTAGCTCACCTGAGCTGAAAGCTCAAGTGAGCTTTTCTGATCACATTTTGTCCGGCGTCCGTCTGTCCGTCTGTCTGTCTGTAAACTTTTCACATTTTCAACTTCTTCTCAAGAACC